TAAGTGCGTTCCAATAAGTCTTCCTACCAATATGACCATGTTGCGAAAACAAGGTCAAACAACCTCAATTGGTAATAATATTTGTTTTTATTTATCTCTTCGTATCGAGGCCTCCATCTTTGAAGTTGTAGAGGGCAAGCGTTTTATATTTTAGGGCGGTCCACGTCCTTCTTACGAACACAACAGGATGTAGCTCCGTGCTAAAGATGACGCCCCTCACTTACGATGGGGTTTAAATGTCTGGGAATAAATAGTCAGTTTTCCGCAACTGGAAACAACGAGGTCTATTGGCTCAGGGCTAGGTAGGCCCCACAAGGTTTCTCAGCGGCTCCGATCAAGTTTATAAAACTGAGTCGGAGCAACAGTATATAGCTAGAGGAGACAGTGAGAAAAGAGGTCACACCAACGCGGTGTTCTTATCTACGATAAAAATACAACTTACTTCATCAAGGATAATCCAATCCCCTTGCTTGAGAGCCTGCAGCAGAGGACCATCACGCCAGGCAAAAGAGCCATCAGAATTGCCCTCCACGGGAAGATCAGAACCAAAAAGATCATTTACCTCCTGTTAGGAATAAATAACAGCACATAAAAATATAATAAAAAATGGTGAATCGCAAATGATTACGTGCAGTGTATAGATTCATGTAAGATTACATAAGAAGACGGATTCTAAAATCGAGCTAAGTATGCATATATGCAAAAAGTATTACATTATTACTATAATACACCAAATATGCAAAGAAAACTATTAGTCTATTATTCGTTTATACTAATAAGTAGGGTATTAAATAATGGTAACAAATTGTCCCGAAATGCTATCCATGAAAGTTGAAAAATTCTAAGCTAAGTAGTTGTTATACTTCGTTTCCACAACATGGTCATATTGCCGGGACGACCTAATCCGGAGTAAATAATATGCATGATAGAAGTGAGTTGACCTCAATTTCGCAACTTCGACTTGTTGTGAGGGCGACTATGTAGAACAAACCGAGTCCGGAGTAGTCTGCCATAGATGTCATGATTTCCAGCATCTGACAGTGGACTTGGTACATTCTCAAACGTTTCGCCGGCATCGTAGTCAGCATCATCAGTGAATTTTGTCATTCTCCACACTATGCTACGAACTCGACAAAAAGACAAGTGAAGTGTCGCAGACCCTTAAATCTGACCTTGAGGCCTTCTGTCGGGTCCCTAATTCTAGTATTGTGTTCTTTCATCATTTAATGCCTTTACATAATCAGTCTTCGCCATAAATACTATAGCTTCTCCTTTGCCTGCCCTGAATACTTGTTTCTTGTTCTCCTTCACCTTCCTCATAATAGTCTTAACTATCATATTCGTATTTGGTGTTTCTACATGACCATCAATTAAAGGGACAACTTGTAGTTCAATGCCAATCCAAGTATCCTCTGGGAAACTATCCTTTTAACTTATCAATTCTACCAAAATTTCTCTTTGAAGTCCTTTGGCAAGGAAGAGTGTAAGCCTTTTGCTAGGACCTTCTCAGTAAAAATATCCAATCAAGTTTTGAACAGATTTACCACTTTTTTTGCAACGGCTATCCTTACACTTCAATTAATTATATGTGGGTCGTTTCCTTGAGCTAGTTCTTACACCAAAATTTCCTACTTTCTTATCATGTGTTTTCGTAACCTGTCAGAAAATCATGTAATGTAAACTATCCGCAATACTCTGGAATTTTAGGTAGTCCTAAGAACTAAGGAGCATCAGACAATATTAACCTAAGTCTAGTCTTATATCTGACTAAGGAATGTCACTGCAATACTTTCCTTAAGTCCTATATCAACCAATGCATGGCCAATACAGGACACTTAATAGACTGTTTATAAGCCTAACGTTTTATGGATTACGGGTACTTAACGTCAAAGCTTGAGATGAGGGAGCTTTAGAAATAAACAAGCAGCTAACATCGTAATTAGCAGGAACGAGGGTAGTAAACTAAGTATGAACTTTTTGTGGCTGTTGGATATACTTAAGGAAAGGGAGAGAAAGAGGATGCAGGAAGGGTCACTGAGCAAGAGGCTGGATTAGCCTAATGTCTAGCTTAGACCATTATGCTATCTATGACATGAGCATCACATACACACAATAGACAATAGCACGAGCCCAAACATGATTCAGCAGTAGTCGTTTGTACGCTAGTTTTTGAGTGATGAAACTCATTTCCTATTCGGGAAGTCAACTTTACTCATTTTTAAGCATGTTGAGTAAGGTTAAATTGGCCAACCAAATCAGAGGAAGCTTCATTAAGATCGCCATGTTAGGTGTATAAAAATGCGAATAGGGGTGTAGCCGGCCACTTTCCTCTCGGTTTAGTATATTTTTGCTATATTTCGTAATGTATGGAATCGTGCTTTGATCATGTCTGTCACAGAACAGACGAAGGTTTAGCAGATAGATGGCATTAGAAATGGCGCAGGACCACCGACAGTCTACAGGTTACCGAAGGTACACAAGGAAGGAACTTCCTTAAGATTAAGAGTAAGCAACAAGCATTTAGCAACACACAGGCTAGTGAAATTCATTTGCTTGAACCTTAAGAAATTAGATTACAGAATCTCAAATACCGTGAAGAATTCATATGCATTTTCTCAAAGGTTCCAGAACACTGGAATGGTGGGGATGGAAGTGTTGGTAGGTTTCGACATACAATTTATGTACAGAAACATCACAGACAAGAAGGCGATAAGCGCCTTGCTGGAGTATTTAAGTGAGAAGATATCCTGTAGGCAGAAGGTTAAAACGACTAATCAACCTGACAGTGAGGACCACCTATTTTAGATTTAACGGTATTATCTACGAGCAAATATTTCGACTTCCAATTGGATCTCCATTCTTACCTCTTTCAACAAATGTATACGTGGACAAATTGGAAAGGGAATTTAAGAAGTCAGGAATGCAAGCAAGAGCGATTATGCGATACCTGGATGACTACTTTGCACTTTGGTCGCATGGTAAAGAAAATTTTATTATCCATCTTGATGAACGAATTAAATGCACAATGAAGGTAGTGGAGCATAAACGACTATTTTTCCTGGATATTGAAGTCATGCGCTCCAACAGGAAACTGATCAGGAGACTAATCAGAAAAAATTCAGACGCAGGAATACGCTGAAGATCAGAATAATGAAGAGTTTGATCATCATTAACTCAAAACTAATAGACACTGAGTTCTGGGACAAGGAGTTTGCCTTAAAGAACTTAAAGAAAGATATGTAAGTGTCATAAAGATGAAATTTGAACTCAGATTTTATGAAAATCCGATCAGCAAGCATAAGGACGACCAAAATAGGATATACTTGCACTCATGTGAACTGAGCCAAAAATTGCGACCGTTACTAAGAAAATGGAATATCAAAGTGATAAAAATGAGAAGATAAAACTTTTCAGCAAGTCTGCTGACTGACAAACTGAATTGCTTCGGAGTTTATCGCATTAAATTTGTCAACTGTGAGCAGAGGTATATTCGTGAAACAGGAAGAAAAATCGGCCAACAAATAATTAAACCTCAAAGACTGTAAAAGTATGGAAACGCAAAGATCCGAAATAGCGTAACACATTGCACGGACGGGATACAAAATCGGTTGGAAATCGACAGAAATAATGGCTGCATGTGGTGAAAATACGAGAAAACACAAGAGAAGTCATAGACTTGTCATTATGGATAGAAGCACGATAAATCCGGTGGAGATTAGAGCTGGTTGGTTAACAGTAGACGTGTTTCATCAAAGATGTGGTCCATGAAGTAAAGGCTTGACCATGAGAATTACTCGGGCTTTTTAGCTTCAAGTTAGTCTCCAATCCAGCTTGGGAATTCAGACTGAGGCCTTACTCAGCGAGGCGGGAGTATATGTACCATTAAGGCTTGAGGCAGAGTGTGGGAAATAACGTCACGAGTAGCACAGATAGGGTAGCAGAGGTCAAGTGGAATACCTGATTCAGAGAAATATGAGACGAATCTTACGGGGCAAGAGAGAGATTAAGATAGGACTTATCGAAGAGGATTGCGGAAGAATATTGCAGGCTCAGATCAACATTTCTAGCACAATGGTAGGGTAGTGGGGTGAGTAGGTCCGCGTGGGGTGTGAAGAGGTCTCATGAAATCCACTCAAAATGAGACATCGAACCGGATTAAAATAAGCAATTAAGAAATTGTGATAGTGAAACGGTGGTATGAAGATATAGGATAGATGAATAGCCTAGGACAGAAGCAGATACCATAACTGTTTAGCAGACAAATGATCAAAGAAGACTTTATTTATCTCAGACGAGTTGTAGTGTGGTGCTAACAAGAGCAAGGCTCACTGACGATGCAGACTACGATGTCGGTGAAACTTTTGGGAATGCACCAAGTTCACGGTCCGATAGTGGAAATTATCATGCACATTATGGATTCCGGACAAGATGCGTTCCTCTAGGTCTTCCTGGCAATATTATCAAGTTGCGAAAACTAACTCATACAACTACTCTACAACGAAAGGAGATCGCGACAATACATTCGTCCACACGATCTTGCTCTTCATATCTTTTATAAGTCAATTTTGATAAAATAGACTGAGGTTGTTTGATCGTATTTTTGCGACTTACCCGTATTGTCAGTAAGAAATAGAGAAACGCACCTTGTCCGACGTCCATAGTATGCATGAATGTTTCCAAAGTCGGACCGTGGACTTAATGAATTCTCAGACGTTTCTACAGAATCGGAGGCGGCATCATTAGTGAGGCATCATCTCTTCGATTAGCTATGATAAGTTCAGCAAACTCACAAACGTGTCTATATGACGAATAATTTAAAATACTATAAATGCATCAGAATTGTTTTAACCTTCTAATGCTTCGAAAGCAATATTTTTAAAGTATTATGATTTATTTTGGCTAAAAAATAATAAAAGATGTAAGAACATAAATTGAGAAAAAGAATCGGGAAGCTAAAAAGCATCCTTGCCCCTAATGCAGTCAGCCTAAATTAATATAAGGGGGCAAAAACAAATTAAAGTCTTAAATTTAATTACCGTTGCCTCGGAAAGATTGATGCGAAAAACGCTATGTCCAGAAGCAGCAGCGAGGGCCAGCACCAAACTGGTTTTTCCGACTCCGGGACTACCCTCTAGTAGAATCGCACGCCCGGGTGCTTGTAGTGCACGAAGGATGCGCCTCATATTTCCTGAGGTGGTTGGCGCATTAAGACAGTAGTTATTGCGTAGATCTCGGCCTTTTGTGAATTCTAATTGAGGCAGCAGAGGGCCTGTGGACGCAACAAAAGAATGCTAATGATATTAAAAATAAATTGACAATTTTATTTTTACATAATTCTCAGTATTTTACTGTTAAGGATAACTTATAGAAACCAAAAACTATAGCCCGAAATACTTAGGACAATTTAATCAATGCAACCTGCGTTTGTGGAATATGCATTTTTTCAACAGCAAATTGCTGACAGGATTCAATCCTGAGCCATTAGAAGGCATTGAAATTCAGCATTTCTAATTAAAATACGTATAGCAACAAAAATACAATAAAAAAACAGCATATTAGGGATATCTCTATAACTTTTGCCCAGTTGGTGTAGCATAGAAATGACTATAAAATAAGCAATAAGGCCAATAAGAATGAAACTAAAGTGGAATATAATTGTAAATTTAGCACCAAACAAGGATACTTAGCTTCAGATTATCTACCATACCAAGTTAACAATAACGTCTACTTCAGCAAAACTCTACGATACGATATAGGAAACCATAAGAGTGACTGAGTTTAAATATTCTTAAATCTGATGGCAAGAGTCATATCTGATATGAGCATAAGAACTAATAATCATTAAAAAACACGTAGTGGTAAAAAGCATGAATAAAGAAATATGATTAACGGCCGAAAATGCAGAAGCTCTCCATCATATGGATAGATTGCGAATAAAATACTTCGAAACCATTGAGGCAATGCCAAAAGAAATATGAAATAGGTATTTAAATAATCTACTAGAGTAATATGATTATCAGATTTCTAGACTTAGTAGTACAACATAACCTTTTCTTTAGATAATAAAGTAAAAAAGTGGGAGAAAGATTAGTAGTTTAAATAATGGTGGAGAATTGCGAGGAGCATATACTTAGCATGGAATATGTTTATTGCTATATAATAATTGGAAAACGAAATGAGACCTTTTATACATAATTAGTATAAATAGGAACGAAGTCAAACAGTGAATTTTAAATCATTCGAGACTTATAGAATAGTAAAGTATTACATCTTGTTAAATGTAATTTGCAGGAAAAGACAAAGTAATAACAAAGAAATATTACTGTAATCATACATAAGAGCAAAGCATGGCACTTATACGCATATAAAAAGGATAAAAGATACAGATAATGGTAAACCAATAAAGTGATCATCCGTTTGCAAACGCGTGAGGTCTTATTACATGTTAACATAAGTATAGATATGTGATAAAAATATATAAGTAAAAGATCCAATATCTCTTAGCAGGGATATGAGTGTAAAGGTTAAATCAGAAGGGCAGATTATGCAAATAAAGACCATGAGACAAGCAAAACATTTGAGATTACTTAGACATGGATGCAAGGAAAGGGTTATCAAAGAGTGTTCAGCTCCAAATTTTTATAAGGACAACAGTTACAAGCTGGTATTAGGAGATAAGTTATGATAGTCAATATATATTTTCTTAAGAAATACTATGAAACTTTAACAAAGTTCGGTTGGCTTTTTTTCTGAAAGCTCTGTTGATAGTTTCAAATAAACATAGGTATACTTAGTAACCCAAAATAAATTCGAAAGATGTAATAGAGCCTCGTTAAAAGATAATAGCAGTCAAAGCATGGTTCTAGTGTTAAACTACATCGGCAGATAGCAAAAAATGCGGTCTGAAATCCTAATGGAAAGGAGAATATTACCTAAGAAAAATTAGGTCGGAATGAAGCTTCTAGTTAACTTACATAAAGTGAGGCACAAAAGCATTTTGGTGTAGAAAATTGTTTAAAATACGACTCGTTCTGCATAAAAAGTCAATGTACATTAAGACAAAATAAATCATAAATCGATATAGTTATATTTGTAGCGCATTAAAATGGGCTTACTTATTAATAGCAGCACTTGATAATAAAGAATTGCAAATCATTATTGGCCGGATTCAATTAAGATATATTAGTGTGTTTTGGGTAAACTATGCTTTCCCGTTATGTCTGGCATATGAAAAACAACATCTTAGCACAAATGATTTCTTGTCGCAAAATCCATCAACACAACTCCATAGTTAGTTTCGAAGAGACCAAACCATAAATCCCTCAAACAAAATTTCCCATCGAAATGAAGAGCCTAGTCACATTTAATTATTATGAAATTCGTCAAACCAAACATTTTTTTATTAATAAGAATGATTATAGCTTTAATTTGTTACGTTCGAAGAGTCTAGACCGAAATTTGGGAATGCAGATTAATAGTAGCATGTAGAAAAATGGAGTTTCGAATTGACGTTGTAGTAAAATTTAATTCATTTGAATTGAGTAGAATAGAATTGTAAGTTGGCCTCATCTGGAGCTGAAATGGATCTTGACTATGGATTTATGAGAATAGGTGATCGGCGCACCGCACTGTGACCCAGGTGAATCTGGGCTGAGCTTTAGTCCGCCGTATGATGGACATCGTGCTTCACAATAATTCATTCTAAGACGAAATATAGTGCAAACTTACTTGCTTCTTATAGCCTATCTCCACTTACTGAGACGTGATTAAGTTGGATGTCATCTGCTATTCGAAAAGTGAGGTGGCTGCGGAAACGTGAAACGAATGTTATTGTGGCCGAACAACCGCACATTGCCTTAAATCTCTTATATTTTTGATCCTGCAATGTTAAAGTATGTGATTACGTCCCATTGCATGTGTGCTAAAGAAAAGAAAGGTCCTTCATGTTCTAGTGAGATAGGAATTGGCATAAACAATGTTGTCATGCACATGACGAAAGAAATCTCAACAAGGATTAATTTGAGTCGAAGGGTGGTCCGCCGAGGCTCTATTCACACAAATCTACAGTTATAGCTCCAAGACAATCCAAACTTACAATTCCTTTTAACTCATATCTTCAAACGAAATGAAAAGTACTCCTGCATCAAACTATTAAGAGATCCTTTATAACCCAATTTATCTACGTATGATATTATCTCTTAACAAATATTGTATTTTCTATTAATTAGGATACACAAATTTTGTAGCATTTGGTTAGAAGGAATCTAGGATATACAAAAAATCTGCTTCCTAAAAAGAAGGAAACATAATTTAATAACCTTAAACAACATCGCTAGCAATATGCGAACCTTGAAATAAATGAATCTGGCAATGGTCAGAACTTCATATAAAAACTTTTCGACATATAAAAATAAAATAAATTCATATATCAAATAAATGAATATAACAGAACTACTCACAGTATTTGACTATGAAGACTAAAGCTTTTAGCTAAGTAAAGGCTTGACCAACCTTGTGTCTCATGAGTATTGCAATGACACGGCGCATATACATACATAAACATAAAATATGGGCTAACATTGCAGGAGCAAACGCTAAATTATTACACCTAGTATTGAAAAGTGAAGTAGAAACTAATCAATTATTGGAAAGAAATTACAATTATTACCCAGTAATGGGTAATGAGATGCGGAGGAACACATATTTAAGTCAAGATAAGGAATTTTAGGCAAAAATGGTTTCATGTTCTGTGTTTGTGACATGACATGCGAAAGCTTGTTATGGATTCATTGAGGTCGCAGAACCGTGCATTGAGGACAGTCACAATTTCACAGAAATGCACTGGCACCTGTTTTTCAAGCGAAATTAAAGGTATAATGCGACTTGTCCTCACGTTTTATCTAAAAAAATAATCATTGTCGCATCTGCTATGATTCTGCCTAGAGCTAATTAAGCTACGCCAGTGCTCAAAAACTCTGGATAAAACGAAAAGTTAGAATCATACCTGTCTTGATATAAAATGGAGGACTGCCAAAGAGTTGACCATGCGCAATAGTGACAAACTCATATCTAGTCTTTGCGATAGAAGAAGCTTCGTCACATGGGGTAAAATTAGCGGAGTCGAAATCGCCGGTGCCCGCAATGGAGTCTAAATGCTCATCAAGAGAGCACAGATGTTCACTAAGCATGGAAGACTTAGCAGTCACTCCGGCTAGCCGAGACTGGAGCTGGCCAACAAGATATGTGAGGCACATTCTGATCCATGGCAAGCGATATGCGGATGAAAAATTATTTTCACAATCAAAGTTAGTTGCAATGGTTTCATGCGGATCGAGAAATACAAAGGCAGCACCATGTAAACAA